GATTTGATTCTTAGAAGGTCCCATTCATCTATTTTATCTTCTCCTGGATGTAGATTGGCTTACTCTGTTATTCCTCTCATCTCCACTAGGCAGGCGTCTGTGTCCTGGAGTATGCCACCCCTCTGCAGACCTTGTTTGCCATGTCACAAGATGGCCGAGCTGGCTTCAGTAGGGAGGATCGACTTGAGCAAGCTAAACTCTTCTGCCGGACCCTTGAAGACATCCTGGCAGATGCACCTGAGTGTCAGAATAAATGTCGCCTCATTGTCTACCAGGGTGAGTGGCTGGCAGACTGGGTGGGCAGAAGTCAGGGGTCCAAGGGGGCCCATGGGGGTCACAAAGAGATATGGCAGAATCTTCCCCTGCCCTTCCCAATTAGCCGGGGCATTCAAGCCCTGTTCTTTTCTCCCTCGAAAGAGGGCTTCATCTTCTGCCCTGAGACATTTGACTGCTGAAATCTTTGGCCTTGGGCCCCTGGGTGGAAGTTTGAAGACTTGGCCTCTAGAGGCCCCTAACTTTAGCAGAATAGACCTAGACCACAGTATACAAAGCACCCTCATAGTGGACTGAAGCTGACACCTCAACTTTGATGCTCTCTCACAGAGTGATTGTGGGCTAATCTCTGACCCTCCCTAGGCATCGTCTCTAAAAGCTCCAGGGTAGAGTTCCGTTGTTTCTAAAGCCCTTTCTATTTCTAGGGACCCATGAAAACTTAGCTCCACTGGCTGGGGGAGAAGGCCTTCCCAGCAAGTTTTTGGGTTATATGCTGGTGGAAATGAGCACAGTCCTCACCTTACTCTCCCTGCGCCCCCTTCCAGAGTCTGCAGAGGAAAGCACCTTCTCGCTGTCTCAAGAGATCCTCAGGCACCTGCGGCAGGAGGAAAGGGAGGAGGTTACTGTGGGCAGCGTAGAGAACTCCGCGATGCCCAGTTACTCCTCACCGAGAACCTCCTCGCTGTCCCGGGAGCCCACGTTCCTCATCAGTGGCATGGAACAACCGCTCCCTCTCCGCACAGATTTCTGCTGAGACCCAGAGTCATCTCACCTGAGCCTCAAATGAACCCCAAGGTTTCGGAATAGGGAGTCTCTTCAGAAACTGAAACTCCAACAGAGACATTTCCTCCTGGAGGGGACCTTGCAGAGAAGAGCTCTGGGTGTCATATTTCAAGTGGAGTCTTACAACCTCAGACTAGAGTCTTCACCTCTCAGAACTCTAGTGTCTTCATCCGTGAAGTGAGACTATACTCTCTGCTCTTCCTATCTCACAGGGCTGTGAGTATACGGAAGGTTCTTGTAAACGCCAAATACTAAATGAGTTTAAGAGATGTGCCAGCTGTCTTCCATTTGACCTACCAGGCTCACTCTGCACTATTCTGCACCTCCTCTGACTCAGGACACTGACTTGTGTGGACAGTGTCAATCAGCTGCCTTGCTTTCTGGCTTCTGGCCTTATCAGTGGGGAGCTCCAGCAGGAGAATGGAGAGGAGGAGGGTGAGGTTGGGGGATTTATCAGGCCCCTGGTAAAGGTTAGGAAGCAGAGCTCTGGTGGTGTAGACCACATGGCCTGCCCACAAATGGTTTGTATCCACCAGCAGCTCTGAAGAAGAGAGGAAATCTCCTTGTGAGCACTTTACAGCCTCCAAAAACCCACTAGAGGATCAGCTCTGATTTAGTCCCAACTCGACAGCAATAAGTATCAGTATCCAGGTTGTTGTACGTTCTCTGTATTCTGGACGTAATAGCATGGCTCTTGTGGGAAGACCAGCCCCATAATCTTGTCTCTCTCCGAGATCCAGTATCTGCTTCCTCCCCTTGCCCTTTCAGTCCTAGGGGTGTTATTTGTCCCTACTCATTCTGAAATAATAATCATCTTACCTATTTCTTGACCTCCTACTTTACTCTAAATAATATCTTTTAAAAACACTCCTCAGACTACCCAGTGTAGGTCATCTTGCTTTCCTGCTGGATCTTTGACTGATAAAAAGATTGACAGTTGGTACACTGATATCCAAAGACACCCGCACAGATGTACTTCCTTGTGCCTCTGTTCATCCTAGTGCAGAGCACTGAGGTGGTGTCATTCACCGTGGACAACACCCACCAGCTGAACTGAAGGCGTAGACTTGGGCCACATCTTCAACTCCACCTGCTCTTTCAGTCTCCTATCTCCAGGGGAGGCCTGGAGGGGGTGGGGAGGGCCCAGGGCCCATCCAGCAGATGCCATAGGAGCACATGGTTGTGTCCTGGGCAAGAGGCTGCTTAAATGAGCAGGCTCCCCATGAAGAAGTATCCCCAGATGAGAGTCAGCAAAGGGATAAGGAGGGAAGGAACTTGTTTGAAAGATTGTATATTCCATGGGGCCAAGGACAACAAAGCCAGCCATACCTATGTCATGCCTGAGCCACTGCAACGACGCTGTGGTGAAGAGCACCTATCTGAGAGAGCTGGCAGCCCATCCTGCTAGTCACCCTGTTCCACTCAGGCTGGACTTGTTCCGTTCTACCTTCGTTTTTTCATTATAAATATTCAATATGCATCTCTGAGGACAGTATAACCATGATGAAATGTTCTACACACAGACACCCACCTATTTGACAAAAGGGAATAAGGGGGGGGGGACATGTATCAGCTCTCCTGTCCCCAAGGCCCAAGGACCCTGCACCATCACACCTAGAAAATCGCCGTGCCTTAAAAACAGCCCAGAATGAGAGCTTCCCCATTGTGACCTCCCACCACTCACGGATGTGATGTTCAGGTTCTAATTCTAACTTTACCACTTAATATCTCTGTCCATTTGGGTATCCTGAGAAGGCTCAATTTCCCTGACTATAAAAGGAAGATAACAATGGTTCTGTCTCCCAAAGTTGTGAGCATCCACAGACAAACGTGGGTCTGCATACATTGGTCCACAGACAAACCTGGTGTCCAGCACATAGCTGGCCCCACAAACAGTGGCAGCTATAAACACGGCAGCTCCCTGAAAGGAGGTGAGCCGGTCCTCTGCACACACTACAATTCCCATCTCTGTTACTTTTCACGTTCTGTTCTTTTCCAGGCTTCCTGAATATGCTGGGGTCTCAACAAGAGCAGAACCCTGGGCTGACTTCTTGCCCTCAGGTGTTATTCAGGGTAAAGCACCCCAAATCTCACCACAAATGTCTTCCTGCATGCTTCTGGATGTATGTGGATGGGATTCAGCAGTGACAGGGGAAAGGAATCCTTGTCAGAGAGCCACAGAGAGGAAGCTCAGCTTTGCTTTCCTGGCCCACTGCCTATTCCCAAGCTCCCTATCGTAGGTTCCCTTCTAATCTCCTCCTCATGCCTTTCTTCCCCTTAAAGGCTCCATCCTAATCCTTTTGTGCTTTCCCCTACCTGTTGGAAGATTCTGGGTCTGGGAAATGACCCCACAGTCAATTCTAGGCTGGTTCCAGCAGCCTTGTGCACATAGAAAGTAGGAGTGAGAGCCCTCAAACTCTCTCCACTCCACAATGAGAAGACAGGACAGTGAGGTTACACCAATCTTGGGAACTATAAATGGTACTTTGAGCTCACAAGGACCTTGGAGGTTGTCCACAACCCACGCCTGAGGCCCTGAAATGTAAAGGGCCTTCCCAGTTTGGTGAAGGACATAGGTTCCCTTCCTTCCCTGAGCTCCAAAGAGTTCTAAAGAGAAGGCAGGTCCCCTGAGTTGGTTCTCCTTTCTTAGCCCTCACAAGAGCTGGTGACCAGTGGAAAGGTTTCTACAGGAGGTCTGTGACATTCATACATGGGATGTGATGGGTGGTAGGGTCTTCCAAGATGGACTCACTTTGACATTAAATGAGAAGAGACTGGGTGCGAAGATTGGCATTCTGCAGACACTGAGGGGCTTTAGGGTCCGGTGCTTGCAGAAGAGATGCTTTCTAAGAGTGATGTTGGGCACTGTGGACACTCGCAGCAACATGGATGGAGGCACTGTCTTAAGTGTCTTTTATTTCTCCTCTCCATAAAAGGGCTTTCTGTCCAAATAGTCTGCTGAGAGGGCAGCTCCAGCGGAGTCCACGTGTGCCTCTCTGAAGCCTCGATACCCACGTCCCAGCTTGCCTCGGTCCTAATTCTCTGTCCAGTTTCTCATTCTGAACCAGGTCAGGCCAGCTTTACAAAGTCTCTCTCCTACAGATAAGTGGTTTCTCCGATGCTGGGCCAGTGCTCATCCGATGCAGTGTAGGGGTCTGTAACAGGAACTCCCCTCTGGGCTTCTTCATGGTTGTCCCAAGGGTCCAGCATCCGCCAATGGGTGAGGTAGACGCTGCCCTCTGGCTTTGGTGCTGATGGTTCCTTGAGGAGAGTGGCATGGCCCTGGTGCAGCCTTGGTCCAAAGTGGACCGCCACCACAATACAGACAGCCAGCAGGACAAAGATAGAAACGATGAGAGTGAGCAGGGGGAGTCCATCATCTCTGGAGCTTCCCCAGGCTCCATCCAGCACCTCTGGAAGCTGCTTCTGGGGCTCCTGCGCCAGTGAATGGTTCACAGCTGGAGGCAGACAGGGGTGGCCAGCCTGGGAGGGATGTAAAAGAGACAGAAGGTGACATGGGCATGGGCATGCAGAAAAAGACCAAATCAGACAGAGACTCAGAGGGAACTGAGAGAGATGCTAAGGAAGAGTCTGGGATAATAAGTAGAAGTAAGACAAGCAAAGAGAGTGAAGATGCAAACAGAGATTAAACAGATACAGATAGACACACAGCAACAGGGAGAATCAAAGAGACACTCAGCCTAAAAATAAACAGAGAAATGAGAATTAAATTTGGAGACAGAAAAAAGATAGAGGCAAAGAAGAGGAAAAAAAGAGACAAGGAGACAAAGACATACAAAAAAAAAGCAGCTTCAGTACAGCCTGACCTTGGAGGCTGAAGCCCAAGTCCATTTCCAACCTCCTCCTAGGTCCCCAGCAAAATCCAAAATAGATATTATATCAGAAATCTTAGCATTCTGTGACTACTGTCTCAAGGTTTAGGCAGTGGACAATAAGCAGCTATTTAAAAAAGTCTTGGAAAAGGGACTGTTCATTCATTGCCCAGCCTCCTAGCCTCCATCCCTCTGATTCACATGAAGGCAGAAGAGTGGTACCCAGCATGGATCGATTCCTGACTCTGCCCAAGATAAAGTGAGGAGACCCTGGGGCAGCTTCAACCTTAGTCAGGGTCCTAGGGTTCTTCTACCCAAAGCTGGGTTCCTTATTCCTGCCTCTGTCCCCACCAGTGGGGTGCTGGGCCCAGGTAGGAGGTTATGGAAAGGAAGGTGGGGGTTGTCATAAAGAAAGTGCCGTGAAGGTGGCAACCCTTCCAAACTCAGAGCTGCCAGACCACCACGGGCTCCTTCCTCTTGTCTCCCCCGCCCCTTGACCATCCAGAGACAAACTCAGTGGACCCTCCACCTCTGAGCTCTAACCTGGTCCTCCTCATCGGTAGGTAGCAGGAGACCCGGAGAGGCTGCCCAGGACAAATCCATTCCTTTAGCCCCTGGTCACACCATCCCACCCACAACACGTGTCCCTTAACACGTGGGAAGCCCAGTTTCCCACCCCTCCCCCACAGCTCTCTGTCTCTCAAGGGCCCTCGGAGCTCCCTGGCCAGGCTGTGAGGAAGCAGCTCCAGATGTGTAGAACAAAGGAGAAGCCCAGGCTGGTGACAGGCTGGTGGCCCTTGCAGGGGTGGCCCCTACAGGGGGGGTCCAGCCAGCCTGGAGAGAAGGGGGTGTTCGGAGGGTCTACCTGGTTCATTGTCCGGGCAGGTGGGGGCTCATTCAGGACAAGTGGCGGCTGGCAGAGGAGCGCTGGCCACCTGGCTCAGCCCCTGACTAGGAGCTGCCACGTCTGTGGGTCACACGCCCTGTGCACACACCCAAACCGCTCTCTCCCGCGCTTTCACTTCCGTGAGCATCTGGCTACCTTGGGCCCAGCCCCCTCACTTAGATAGTACCTTGATCTGGCTCCTTCATACCTAGGTGTCTGTGTCCATACCCTCTGCCAGCTTCAGGGGCGTGA